AACGGCACATACCGCACTCGTGGCACTCATGGCGCTCGAGACACCTGTAAGATGATGGGGAATGGACCCATTGAAGAAACAAATCCGGGATTTTACCCAAAACAACAACAATTTTAGAACATTCTGCCCAGTTTGGATGTAGTTCAGACACATCGAAAATCCAGCATGTCTATCCATTTCTATCCATTTCAACCAATCGATGAAATGCTGAAACCATCTGAAAACCCCAGCCATCCGTATTTGCACTCCAGCTGATGAGCGAAAATGTAGCTTACCAATTTATGACTTGGTTTTAACCCAGTGATATATGGGCTATCAACCACTTACTGAAAAATATCAAATGAGGGTTTCAAGCCTGGCCATTCAGAGTCAAATCGCATTTTCAGAATCTAAGTTCATATTTCCATCTGTTGAAACGAATCATTTGTTACTCAATATCCCCATGTCTGTCTCTGTTTGTTGCTTGTGTATTACTATGCTCCCGTTGAAGGACATTCTAAATTCTCAAACAAACGACTTTAAATGGAAATCCAAGGTTCTCTAGAAAAGGCTTTTGCAACCCTTCTTAGAACCCTAGGAAGGCGCCGTTGTGGAGTACACAGCTTCGGGCACCCCTGCGTTCAAAATGATACTACTCATATAACATTAGAGAGTGGGTTCAAATCACTTCATTTTAAAATTGTTTGTTTGGACACTGCTCAAGAAATCTTGAGAAAACATGAGAAAACAACCTATTCTGTGGGTCTGTCCCCCGTGACACCTGCCCATACCTGTAGGGGTCCCTCAAAAGACAAACACGTGAATTGTGCCGTTGCAGATTCGAAAGCAAAACTGGTTGCTTTTGGCTATTTACATCCTCATTTTGTCTATGACAATCTCCAACAAAGAAAAACCAATTTATAGAAAAAACACACAAATTCCCCATTTTTTTCCATTTCTATCACAACCTCCCCGGAAAAAAAAGGTGATGTCATAACTCTCCGATCTTTTTGGACATCACACCTGGCTCTTCGAGGTCCTCGAGGTCTTCGAGGTCTCCGTCCTGCTCACTTTCAGCAGGCGCCGCCACCAGCGGACGTGTTCCAACTGGGAATGGAGATATTTTCATTGTCCATGGTCAAATCATGTCAAATCCAACTGAAGTTTGTCACATATCCCATTCTTTACCCGTGAAATCCCTTAATTTTGTTCCCATGATTTTCCCATTGACGCAAAACTCGCTGACGACTCACCCAGTCACCGGAAACATCTCACGCTCATGCGATTCTCGATGCTCCGGCGCTTCCAAAAACTCCTGAAACAGCTGCTAATTCAGCAAACACATCCACCAGACATTGAAGATGTGACCTGTATGAAAAATACTCAAAATCAATAATCTAGATGAACATCAGTGAACATCATTATACAATATTATACAATTAATTATTAATTGATGTAATTTGATGTAATCAATAATGTGGACAAACACATAGTGACATGTTTACATGTAATAAGAATAATTATACGAATAACAACAGTAACAAATCACAATGATGGCTGTAGATGGTTGTAGTGTGTTGTAGTAATACGACCGAAAGATGCATAGCTGTCCCTATTCTTGTATAGAATATTTCCCTGTGATATATCACCACATGTCACCACCATCTTTGCTTCTAATCCGCATGGACCAAAACAGAAAGATACTGACTTTCTTTACCCCTTTGTTTAAAGCCAACCGCAGAAAATCATCACTTACCACAAAATTGTCAGAATTCCAGGGGATTTCATTGCCCCATCCACAGTGTTCATTTATTTCTAATGGGTTTTTCTGGACATGAGGTATCCACACGATCCCAATGATCCCCCATTCCATTCCGTGAGAAAGGACACAGTCCAATGGCGGCTCCTCTGATTCTTCCCTTAACCCGGCAAGGCAGCTACAGCAAGTCGTGGTGTCTGCGTCTAAATACCAAGAATCAAACCTAGAGTTACCATTTGCATCTGGTGCCCTTTTCATGCTAGATCGGGTTTGCCAAACCATCGGGCAAGTAACGCAAGTACGCCAGGTGACTCCTTTGGAGGCTCCAGACTTTTCAGTTTGTCCTGTATGCGACTTTCGCTTGCCTGCCAAAGTCGAAAACGACGCCCGCTGAAAGAGAGAAAGGACAATGAACGACCTTGAATGGCTAGCACTGCAACAATGCTTGATTTTCAGATCATGTGTTATTCTTTGCCACTCATCAATCATCCAGGGGTGTGCAACTGAATCAAATATCAAACGCACTTCTGGAGAATTCAACGTTAATTTTTTCATCAGACCCAATTCTTGATCATACAATTCATGTAGTTTGCCCAGCTTTTCGAGGAGGGGTGGTCAAAATTGAGGTAGCCATGAATTGTCCAAAAACATGTTCATATGGACTATATGGACTCTACGGATCAAACTGTTGGTAACCATGAGCCGTGCTCCGCATTCAGAAACTGCATTGACCTTTTCTTTATGGGATGTTCATCTATCTATCATAACAACGCAAAACTATGCAAAACCATCATCTACGTACTCGCAAGATATGATTCGTATCTATCCCTTGAACATTATTGAACCATGCTGTTTTCTCGAGTTTCTTGTGGGTTGACACAGTTGACACCAGCAGATTTGAAGCGGACCTGGGGTCGTTATTTCAGGTTCCGTCAATGTGAATATGTCAACTTTCAGTGGTAATGTCGCCCGGGTTCATTGGGTTCATTGTTTGAACCTTATTAAATAATATTGGTTGCAGTGCACAATTTGGTGTATGCTGGTTTCATCCCCATTTCTTGCTTCTCTACTGGGTGTAATATCAGCTCTATAAAGCGATCCGGTCACGGAGTCACGGCTGCCTTCCTCATGGCTATCTTGAAGGCTTCAACCTGACGTGACTTTGTTGATAAATCATGAGGGCTGTTTCGCTCCGATGATCAGATTACCTTCAGTTACCCTCTGGTAATTTAACATAGCTATTGAAAATGACAATTTATAGTGGATTTACCCATTGAAAATGGTGGATCTTTCCATAGTTATGTTAGTTTACCAGAGGGTATATCTATCATATTCTGTGGTCACTGGATGACTTGAAAATCATGGAGACTTGAAGGTAGATCTGGGAAAAAATGCAACGAAAACACGTGGGTTGTGTCCATTGACAGGGCGCTAGTGAGATTCAGAAACAATCCGTAGTGAGGTATACAGTGTACAGGGGTCGTACAGGTGTTCTGTTTGAAACAGGTGTTCTGTTTGAAGATCACCCAACTATGAGGGCATGGTTTCAAGTCCAACACTTGTTTAGGAGGCATTTGTTCAACATCCAAGAACAGGACAATTCCCAACCCTTGTATCCCAATGGAAATTCTAGAGGCAAGGATACCACCAGGTTGTCCAAGGACATGTTTGATATCAAACTTCTGGAGGATTCGTTGCGAGTATGTTGGGTGATGTTTCATGAGCACCCCCAGCACGACTTCAATACACAAAAGGTCCCGTCTTGCGATATACCTGATGGGCTTCAATCCAGTAAATGACAAAAGACCTTTCGAAACTTCGCTTTACCTACTGGTTGTATCGGTATTTGGACACAGGATCAGTATGAGATACTTAACCTACCAACGATGTGTTATATATGTCCTTATTCATACCTGAATGGAACATCTGCACTGTTTCCATTGCTCTGAAGATGATGTTCATGTTCCCATTCAAAATAAGCATTTCTCAGCCATGTTTGATTCCAGGTGACTTTCAGGTAGAATTCATTAGAATTCCCAACCTCTCCTTATATTGAACCAGTTATAGGTGGTACAAACCGTACAAGGAATTCCCATTCACCAACTCGCGGACGATCTTGGCACCTTGTCCATAATGTTGCTTCTCAACCTGGAGAATGGCTGGCATTGAACAACAAAAATTTCAGGGTTTGTCTAGAAGGGAGATACCGGGATACCTCAAAATTCTCATCTTCATGGGATATGATATGTCTGTGATATTTCTGTGATATACCTCAGGTTGGGACAAACCTACGGACTACATCGAAAGATGGTTTCAATCTCCACTTTTTGTAGGGCGCCGCGTCGCGTCCAGCATTTTTGTTGGCTTCCCAGACTGGCCCAGACTCTGAATGAGTTCACCCCATTTTCCACATACTTCGTGTACTGAAAAGACTGGGCCCCTGCAAAAAACTTGTTTGAATATATTTGCAGAGTTATAGCCCAATTCCATTGACCTGGCAAAGAAAGATCTCCACTAACATCCATTTACCCATGATTTTCCAAAACAGTTCCCCTTAGTTTCCGGATTTTGCAGTTCTTCAGCAACGAGCAACTCATCCATCTCGAAGAGATCTTCTCCAAGCTCCGTTGCGTCCTGATCGTTGGGATTTAATTGGAAACATCCTTTAACCAACACATACCAACACCAGGTGATGATGATTTTATGTGGATTTTTCTGGTGTTTTTTCTTGGAAAAAAAAGAACATGAAAACAAGCAAAAACCTGCAAGGCGGCTCCCTGAATTAGTTCGATACATCCTAGCGAACTGGAGTACCACCGTGTGGAGCTTGGTCATTTTTCTCCCAATTCTTCTTGGTGACCCCACCGTTGATGGTCTATCACCATATCCCCAAGACTTTCACCAAAATGCGGATGTAAGTGGCAAGTGGTATATTATCATGTTCACCATTACGCTCTGGTAAACTAACACCTTGCTATGGGAAAATCACAATTCTTAATAGGTAAATAAAGATAATAAATTATAAATGGACATGTTCAATAACAAACTGTTAAATTACCAAAAGGTATCTCTGAATGGTTGATTAAACATGGTTACAATCATACTAAAACTAATATATACTGTAGTGGTTGGTTAAATACGAATATATAGTTGGTTAATCATCCTGTCATAGGATTATATCTAAAGACTTAGTATACTATATAATAGGAATAACATCCCATCCAATACCATAATATATATATATACATATGGTATTTCCGGGTGTTCATAGTTGGTTAAATACTAATAGTGGTACGTCATTTCACCATATTTCACCATGATTTGAACGAGAACCAGCACCATTTCACCACTAGTTCACCAGATTTCACGACTTGAAGATACTAATCCCATCCCCGTAATATTAACTGGTTGGTGGTTGACCTACCCCTCGGAAAAATATGAAAGTCAGTTGGGGTGATTATTCCATTCCCAATTGAATGGAAAGTCATAAAATTCATGTAAAACATCATGTTCCAAACCACCAACCAGAAAGCCTTTGGTGTAATCACCCATGTTTGTTCCCTCTAAACACCATTTTGAGGCTCTACCAACACTATGACTAGACATTCAACACCAACTTAGAAACCACTAGACATGGAAACCAACTAGACATTAGAAACCAACTCTAGACACCAACTATGACTAGACATTCAACACCATTAAACCCTTAGAAACCAATGGAATGGTTTGATAGTGAATTTCCACATTCCAACAAGGGACCTGCACAGCGTCCAACAAACCTCGGCGTTCGCCAAGAACGGTAGTGAAATAGTTCATGTGACGCGACGTGTAACACGTGAGATAATGGTGATACAATGGGAAAACTATGCATAAATATATGAACATGCGTTTTTAATGGTGATATATAGATATATGTTTAATAATGTTTAATATATATATATATACATGGACATCATGATGATACACCCTGTGGTAAACTAACATAGGCATTTTTTGAAAGGTGTGTTTTTCATGGCAAAATGTTGGTGAAAAAAGAAGGGCCTTCAGTGTTGTTCCCCACATTGACGTGTGGGGTTTTTGTTTTTAGTTCTGTATCCGCTCCTCCTCCTCGTCCTCCTTCCTTCCCGTCCTCCCTCCCTCTCTCCATCACTCACTCTCACTCACTCACTCACACTCACTCACAAACACACACACACACACGCACTCACTCTCACTCACTCACTCACTCACACTCACTCACACACACACACACGCACTCACTCTCACTCACTCACTCACTCACTCACACACACACACGCACTCACTCTCACTCACTCACTCACTCACTCACTCACACTCACTCACTCACTCACACACACACTCACTCACTCACTCACTCACTCTCACTCACTCACTCACTCACACTCACTCACTCACTCTCTCTCTCACTCACTCACTCACTCACTCACTCACTCACACACACACACACAAACACACACACACACACACAAACACACACACACACACACTCACTCACTCACTCACTCACTCACTCACTCACTCACTCACTCATGCACTCTGCACCGCCAAGGGGTCGGCCGCGTCTTTTGCGTGGCAGGCGTGGGACAATGTGCACTGCCAAGGGGTCGGATGTACGCCCTGGCGTCCCTCGGGCTCCGCGTCTTTTGCGTGGCAGGCGTGGGACAATGTGCACTGCCAAGGGGTCGGATGTACGCCCTGGCGTCCCTTGGGCTCCGCCGTCTTTTGCGTGGCAGGCGTGGGACAATGTGCAGCCAAGGGGTCGGATGTACGCCCTGGCGTCCCTCGGGCTCCGCGTCTTTTGCGTGGCAGGACAATGTCCAAGGGGTCGGATGTACGCCCTGGCGCGGGCTCCGCCTCTTTTGCGTGGCAGGCGTGGGACAATGTGCACTGCCAAGGGGTCGGATGTACGGCGTGGCGTTCTCGGGCTCCGCCTCTTTTGCGTGGCAGGCGTGTGGGACATGTGGGACAATGTGCTGCCAAGGGGTCGGATGTACGCCCTGGCGTCCCTCGGGCTCCGCGTCTTTTGCGTGGCAGGCGTGGGACAATGTGCATGTGCCAAGGGGTCGGATGTACGCCCTGGCGTCCCTCGGGCTCCGCCTCTTTTGCGTGGCAGGCGTGGGACAATGTGCACTGCCAAGGGGTCGGATGTACGCCCTGGCGTCCCTCGGGCTCCGCCTCTTTTGCGTGGCAGGCGTGGGACAATGTGCACTGCCAAGGGGTCGGATGTACGCCCTGGCGTCCCTCGGGCTCCGCCTCTTTTGCGTGGCAGGCGTGGGACAATGTGCACTGCCAAGGGGTCGGATGTACGCCCTGGCGTCCCTCGGGCTCCGCGTCTTTTGCGTGGCAGGCGTGGGACAATGTGCACTGCCAAGGGGTCGGATGTACGCCCTGGCGTCCCTCGGGCTCCGCGTCTTTTGCGTGGCAGGCGTGGGACAATGTGCACTGCCAAGGGGTCGGATGTACGCCCTGGCGTCCCTGGGGCTCCGCCTCTTTTGCGTGGCAGGCGTGGGACAATGTGCACTGCCAAGGGGTCGGATGTACGCAGGCGTGGGACAATGTGCACTGCCGTACGCCCTGGCGGGTCTCCGCCTCTTTTGCGTGGCAGGCGTGGGACAATGTGCACTGCCAAGGGGTGACTCACTCACTCACTCACTCACTCACTCACTCACGCACGCACACACGACGCACTCACTCACTCACTCACTCACTCACTCACTCACTCGCACTCACTCACTCACTCACTCACTCACTCACACGCACTCACACTCACTCACTCACTCACTCACTCACTCACTCACTCACTCACTCACTCACTCGCTCACTCGCTCCCTCGCTCCCTCGCTCCCTCGCTCCCTCGCTCCCTCGCTCCCTCGCTCACCCACTCACTTCACTTCACTTCACTTCACTTCACTTCACTTCACTTCACTTCACTTCACTCACTTCACTCACTCTCACATCCCTCACTCACACACACCACACTGGCCATCACTCACTCACACTCTCACTCACTCACTGTACATGAACATACATACATACACACAAACTCACCCACCATCACCGCTCCATCACTCTTATACTTCCTCTTCCCTTCTTGCTCTTCTATGGTCAGTCTAAGTCTAAAGAAGTTGGTAACATGTGGGGTTATCCGGTCCTTTAATTTTTTTTTGTAAACACCAGTGAGTATTTGAGAAGTTGAGAAGAAATCCCATCATTCCAATAGGATTACCCTCTGGTAAACTAACATAACTATGGAAAATCACCATTTTTAATAGGAAAATCCACTATAAATAGCCATTTTCAATAGCTATGTGACAGTTTACCAGAGGGTACAGCATGACAGACTCAGGCTTGAGACAGTCCATCCACATCACCAAGCTCTCTGGGTCGACTTTGCTGCAGCTTTTGCGAAAAAAAAAACATGGAAATCTGCAGAATCCTCTGCATTGCATCCCCAAAAAATTGCTGAACTCCCCCATGGTCATAGTTCAACCATTCATGTTCAATTGTCAAATGCTTGCTCAAATCCATGTCTTTTTGTTCTTTGCTAATGTTCAATGATTTTTTATGATTTTTTGGCCGAACATTCCCAATTCCAAGTCGATTAGATTCCCCACGTTTGCCCAAAAAAACCTGAACCTTTAGGGTTTGAAACAGATGTGTCTTGGAACTAGATACCCTCTGGTAAACATACAAAAAAGCTATGGGAAATCTACCATGTTAATAGGCAAATCACAACAACATCAATGGACATTGTGACATGTTTAATAGCCATGTAACAAATTACCAGAGAGTAAATTCTGCATGACTACCATGTTTTTATTGTTCTCACAATCCAATAAAATGTACACTCCCTATAATCCCAACAGATCTCCCCACAGTCCACCACATCTATCCCATTTGAACCCAGTATAACCCCTTTTTTTTTGCTTGACCTCCCATGTCCATTACCATTATGATAGTAATTATAATACTATACTATTGTATATATATAGTATATAATATAATCCTATATGTAGTTCAAACAACAATCATATCATAATTGTCATTCGCATAGTTAGTACTATACTGTAGTTCAATAATCAGATCCGAGCTTCCGTTACCATGATGATGCTGACTATGAAAAATCCAAAAAAAGATCTCCCAATTGGTTCCATGAAGCCGCTGATGCCAATATGTCATATATTTAACCATCAAAAATCCATAGAAAAAACCAAGAAATCCCATCCAATCCAGGCCAATCCAGGCCCAGCTGCTGTCTTGCAGGAGCTGCTGGGCTTTTTCCGAATCGCCCATGGCATGGTCCAGGACCATCTGGACGAAGTCGGGAAGCTTCAAAACCTAGCGAAAAGGCCAGGTTTAAACCATGCGAAAATAACACATGGGGACTTTCACCAGATGATCCAGTTCGGCTGGAAAAAAAGGTGATCAGAATGCGGATTCTCCGAAAATGATGTCATTGAGACAATTAACACATAGAACTGGGGGGTTTAGACAAAACCAACCACCAAGTATGGGACCTATGTAAGCAGTAAAACAACAGAAGTTGGGATATTAACAGGAAAACATGGGGTTGACTCAAGAGAACTGAGTATTGCACCAAGAGAAACGGGAGATTTCACCATTGACGAGGATTTAGCCCCCGGCATCCGCCGGCACTTTTGTTCAGAGCTTGTAGCAACAAAGATGTTTGGACATCACCAGGAAAATTGGTTAGATGATCATAGCATATAATCGCCAACAACATGGAGATAAATAGCATATAATAGCATATTTTTGTGTGAGGATTGAACCACCCAAAGTAGCTTAAGAGGTGAAAATCACGACAATTTTTCCTTGAAACAAATCATGTGGTGTTTTTTTGTTTCAACAAAACCTGAACCAACGAACCGCCCTTGTTAAAGTCTCCCGAGTTTCCAGCCTGAAATTTCCGGGCTTCCATGAGAATCTCCTCCAACATCTCCTGGGGATCGATCGCGTTGCGCAAAGCAAAGCATATTAAGTAGACATATCCATGGAAATATCCATGGAAATATCCATGGAAATATCATAGACATATCAAATATCCATGGAAATATCCATGGAAATATCATAGACATATCAAATATCCATGGAAATATCCATGGAAATATCCATGGAAATATCCAGATTATATAGAATCTCTATAATCCATGACTTGTTCATCTTTTTGGGGCTGATCTTGTTTAGAGTTTTGCGCACGTGGCAGCATCACGGCAAAACCCAAGTTGATGGTGTATGTATTATATATATATATATGTGGAACCTATGGTTGCGAAATAGCAGTCAAACACATCGTTTCAAAATGGGTATATAGCTGCTCGCACCTTCGGAAACATACTTCTAGCAACATTGTTTGCATGTTGGCCAGGGTACCATGCTTTTGAACCATGATGGAGCGGCCTAGATAGTCAAGTAGTTAAAAGGTTTTCGATATGTTGGATACGATATTTATACAGTTTCTATGAGGGGAAACTTATTTGATAAGAGAAAAACCCGGTTTCCTACCCACAATTTAATGGTTTCTTAACCAAGGTTTTTGTCATCTTGAGTGACCCGTTAAATCTCATTGGGCTTTATAAACCAATGTTGAAAACTAAATACGTTTTTTTTTCTAGGTTTAGGTTCTATTCACCAGAGTTATTAAGATCTATTAAGCTCATATTTATGAACAGTGATATACATTATATAACCATTTAACTCGATGGTGCCACCCGTCCAAGCTTCGATAGAGGTACCATCCAAGCTCGTTCTCAAGCCCGCCAACCTCGCTGCGGCTGTGGATCTTCCAATGCAGCGAGTTCTTCACCAAAACAACTGGCTTCAACTGGCTGAGAGGATATGGCAGTGTGTCAAAACCTTGTACCCCTGGTGAACATCAAAATAGCTGGTAAATGGATGTTCATCCCACTAAAAATGTATCTATAGGTATTGACCCATACCCATATCTAACCAGCATAAAATAAGAGAACTTTATCAACAAAATATCAACTGTGTGATGTATTACTCCAAAAAGTTCCTGGTTTGCATGTGAAGACCTCATATTCTGGGCTTCTTTACCACGGCTGAAGATCACAGCCTTGCTGCTTGGCTAACATGTGCCACCCTTTTTTGAATATGCAGAAAAATGCACACCAAAAAAACAACACCATTGTCCCAGCCATTTAAAGAATTTCAATCAAGTTGGGAATGTTCACAAAAAAAAATAAGTCACAAACATTAGCCATCAACAAACAAGCTGATATTTGGGTTGCGGCAAAACACAGGCGGCTGCACCATTACCCGGCCTGGTAAACTAACAGTTAACTATTGAAAATGGTGATTTACCCATTAAAAATGGTGGATCTGTCCATAGTTATGTGGCTGTTTACCAGAGGGAACCCCTAGTTATCATCCATGTTAGATTGGGATTTTCCATTAACCATCCAATGCGAGCTGAAAGGGGTACTCCCATTTATGGAAACCCCCATGTATGGATATTTATGGAGCTTGAATGTCATATGTTCTGTTCTTCATGGCTTTACAACTTGTTTCTGATGGCCTGGGAAAGGGTCCTACCAGCAATTCATCGTGAAGATTCAACCAACCTGCGCTGGATCTTTGTTTCTTCAACATGTTCCAAAAAAAAAATATGTGCCAGATGAACTACTCAAAAATTGAAGCTTCGGCTGAGCAGCAAATCTTTACCCGACTCATCTTGCATCATTGTTTCCTGCCATGGTCCGCTAAGAGGACGTCAACAAAAATTGGGCAAGTCCGCACGATGGGAATTATTGGTATCCCCGGTCAGTGGTGGATTGCCAGTGTTCGTTTGGTTCATGTATAATGTATATATCTAATCTATAGATATTGATATATATATAGTTATATATATAGTTATATATATAGTTATATATATAGTTATATATATAGTTATATATATATATAGTTATATATATAGTTATATATATATATAGTTATATATATAGTTATTTAAACTTTATAAACTTGACTCGACTGCCAAAATCCTCATACCCAACCCCCTTAGGAACCCCATATTTGGGCCATGCCGTGGACCCGTTGGAGAGCAATTTTTCTTTAATGTTCACTTAACAAGACATGATGAAACTGCAGGTGTTCATCGCCTTCTACTGCTTGTGATAAGCCTCATGAAACCAAGTAGTTTAAGATGAAATAGCACCCAACAAGGGTCTCTGCGAACTTGCTCTACAAGTCAAATTTATATGTCGTTGAAACAGACTTAACAAAAAAACTTTGTTTGTCATGTAAAATCAATTTTCATTGTTTGTTGTGTCTATCCAACATCTGGTTTCGATCCACGTTTCGTCCAATTTCTGGTGCTTGTGGTTTCAACCCATCCCAGAAATATGTCACTTGGGTTCATCATCCAAAATATGCTAAAGCAATCAATAAAACAACCACATATTTCAAACCACCAATTAACCACAAAATTGTTTTCTCCAATTTTGTGATGTTCCGTCATTTTCCCGATTTGCCCTCTCCAATCTTCTTGGTGATCCTCCCCTTAAAATTTACTGGCTGTCTATACCCAACTATCTCATATTCTTCGTGATTCATGTGATGACATGCCAAACTATGTCCTTATCAATGGTATAAGAATAGTCTATACCCAACTATCTCATACCCAATCTCCAATTCTCATCTCTTTATGACATACCCAATTCTATGCCCAACTCTGGGTTTGTCTGAAAATAGGGTGCCCCTGAATCCAGTGGTTTATCATCATTTTCTCAAAAAAAATAGCCATATTTTTTTGGGTGCACATCCTTTTCAGAGAAATCCATATGGGAGTTGCCTAAAATGGGGGTTACCTCCAAATCATCCAAGTTTTTAGATCCTTTTAGTATTGAAACCCATAATTAGTTTGGGGTCAAAAAAACATCATTTTAAGGGAAACCTCCATATCCCATTCATATCCCATTCATTTCTCTATGTTTTTTCATGTTGATCTCCGCATTGGATTTCCCATAAAAGCGCCCCGTGTTAAAGTGGGCCCCATCCTGGATGCGTTTGGCCACACGCTGTCGCTCCACACACTCCTGCGGATCATCCCTGGTTCCCTCAATTAGGTATATAAAATGCTTTATGTTTACCCATCCAATTATGGTTACACGGTCAGGCCCTCTAGAATCGATAGTTTGTTTTATAATTTTTGGATAACTATCGTTTATTGGGGAAAGAACTATAGTTATACAATGGGGTATAATTACAATCAACTTTGAACTGGAGGGCCTCGAATAATGTATTCTGATCACCATAAATCCAACAGTTAAGGAACCAGCTCCCCTTCACAGAAGTTCGTTTCACTTCTAGTGGTTATCCAAATAAATTACCATTGTATACCATTGTCATCCATTGTCCGTAAACAAAAAAAACTAAGGGACAGGCTGGGAACTGCCACGTCACAAAATCTGACGATTTCCGCTGATTTGAAACGGGATGAAATTTGGGATTTCCGGATTCACCTATCAAACATGGGAAAACAACGAGAAAACATTAGGATCTCACAAACACAAACAGGAAATGTCTTACAGAAACTGGTACATTCTGGGTGATTTAGCCAGGGTTCATTCTCCCCCAATCCACATTGCCGGTCACCAGGATTATCACAATTTTAGTATTGTCCCACCATTTGCCTTCACCGTCTTGTTTCAGTGGGGGATACCCCAACATGTTCCCAACAAACAAGGATGGACTGGGATGATTGGGAATTCCATCAAAGCTGGGGATTGTTCACGCCGTCCAAAGCAACGTATCCGGCCTGATTCTGAAAGCATTGAATGGGCCAATGGTACCCTTATAATTGTGATACCCGGCCTGGTAAACATACAAAAAGCTTTTGAAAATGGCCATAGAAATAGTGAGTTGTTCCATTAAAAATGGTGATTTTCCATAGTTATGTGGCAGTTTACCAGAGGCTATGCGCCTGAAACTGCGGTATGCCAAATGGACATGTCATAGGGCTGATGATTCACCAGTGGATTTGAAACATACCATTGTCAAACAAAGCTGTATTCAGTGCTGTAGCCATCTGGTAGTCAAGAATGGCGATTTACCAACGAAACATTTTTGCTGGTTGGTGGTTGAGCCCTACCCCTCTGAAAAATATTAATCAGTTGGGATGATGGCATTCCCAATATATTATGGAAAACAAAAAATGTTCCAAACCACGAACCAGATAAGGATAAAATGGGACAACATGGGGATCAATTCAAAACAAGAAGGGATCAATTGCAGCAAGAAACTGAGGTTTAGATCCCGTCGCTTGCCTAAAGGGCAGCTACTCCCCCAAAAATATTCATCCCTTGAATTTGATTGACATTGAGCACATAAGCTGAAATTCATACTAAGCGTGCGTACAAGCAGTCATTGAGTATATGGGATACATAGCGTATCATTGGGCAAAACAAATACAACATAATGAAACTGCTTTGCTCTGAGTAGGCTAACCTGATCTCTAGGGCACCCCTTTACATTGAATGGCCTGTTGTTTTGGCGACCTTTTTCAATACCGTCAAACTGAATTATATGTTCCATGATTGTTCCCATGTGGGTAGCATTCGCCAGTGGCACAGCGGCGACGCGATTTAGAGACCCGCGGAACGCAACAAGCGCAAACAAGACATCACCCCCAAACTCCCTCCCAAGAAAACAAGAACCCTTCGCTGCGCATTCTGGAAAACACAGCATGGTGACCCATTCTCCGGAGGCAAGAGAACCACAGGAGCACCGGGAAGCACTAAGGGTTCGGGCGGCTGGGTCTTGGGGTCTTGTGTTTATTGGTCACAGTAGATTTTATTTGATAGCCAGTTCCCCCTATGATATTAAATGCCTCCCCAGAAGCCCTGGTTTAGTGGCTGCCAGCCATCGGGAAATTCATAGTATATTGGCATATACCCTCTGGTAATTTAACATAGCTATTGAACATGGCCCATAGAAATAGTGGAATGATTTTCCCATTAAACATGGTGGATCTTTCCATAGTTATGTGGCTACGTTTATCAGGGGGTATGGGCTGCATTGATTCCCCAGGATTTTTTGCCAACATCTCCAGCGCCCTGTTGTTGAGGTCATCGGGTCATCCCCAACAGTCTCCTGGATTGACATCTTCAACTGAGCCGGTGAGAGGCAGACTCGGTGCCCCCAACGTTGGTTTAGTCTAGCCGCTGGTCCAAATGAATGTCCACAAGTCCCCCAAAAAACCTCAAATGCCCAGGGAATGGCTGGGAACCACCATTTAAAAAAAGATCAGATGGTATGTATATAATCATACGTCCGATCCTATTCAAACCAAGGTTCATGCGAATAGGTCATATAGGTCGTTAAAATTAGCATGGGGACGGCCCATGACTTGCGGGCGACCAGCCCATTGGATTGTCATGGTAAGTCTCCTTGCTATACAGAGTCGCTCACTTCAAAAAAACGAGTCTCTTTAGCCTGCTTGGAAACAGCGTCCCCTGAGTCTGTAAGCCAACATAGATGTGGAAAAACCACCATTTATTTACATCATTTTCCAAACAGGACACCATGTCATTTCCACATCCATCTTAGTAAAACGGGCAGGTTTTTTAATCATGTCGAATCCCTACGGCCTTGGGCTTGTTGTTCTTGTCTCTCTGTGATTGGTCAACATCCCATAAATAGATGAAAGGTCACCCAGGTAAAACCCAGTCAAGTCTGGGCAAGTGAGAATCATCTCTTATCTTGTTACTTACTCTCTGGTAAACTGCCACATAACTATGGAAAATCACCATTTTCAATGGGACAACTCACTATAAATCACCATTTTCAATAGCAAACTGTTAGTCATTACCAGGCCGGGTACACACCGTCATTCCGCCGCCATTCATTGTTTAATGTTTGAATGACCAGATTACAGGTGATGATTGCACTGGGCACCATCCGAGTTTTGGGAGTGGCTGGATTCCTAGGTGGTGCGCCTTATAAACCCATCTAACGATAGATATAATATCACGATCATTCATGATCCACGAGTATCCACCACAAACATCCACAAACCATAGTAACCATAGTTAACCTATATGTGTAAACCAACATAACCAACTTAGCTATGGGCACCATCCGATACAAATCTTTCAACAGCCTTTAGTCAAATCGTCGCTTCGCATGTTCTCAGCACCGGACAGTGCTCAAAAGACGATGTCTTTGTTGCATGGCTCTTCTGGTACCAAAGGCAACAGCCTGCAGAATCTGCACATCTGGGGCTACCAATAACTTACTGAAAGAGTATTACAGTAGATGATACTAGAACTATGGTAGAGAAACACAATTCATCACTATTCAGATTCAGAAGGCTCTATTTTGACTGTTTATTTGTCCGATCTTTTTGCGGGTTGCTACCGTGATATAGTATAGAGTGGTATGACGGTGCAGCGCCGAACAATGGCTTCGAAGAGCTTGAGACCCTGAAAACTGATCCCAGCCAAGAAAAAAAAAGGTTGACAAAAAAAACACAACACAAATTGAGCTCTACTTCCAGAATTGGATCTTTGAATTTTAAGCCGTACCCAAATCACAAGGGCTTTAAGGTTCCCCCAAAAACAACAAAGCATGTAAGTGACGCACCTGGACCTTCCTCCATAAATATTCCTGGCCAAGCCGGTCGACTGGCGATGTGCCCGACATAACTGTGGGACACAAAGACTTGAAGCTGGTCATCTTTGCGAATGAGTACTGTAAAATACTGTAAACATCTGTAAACATACAAACAGCCAGCTATTGAAAATGGCCCAGTCGAAATAGTTGATTTCTGTCCATAGTTATGTGGCTACGTTTACCAGAGGGTAAACAATGGTAAACATCTGTTTTCCCAGGCACCAAATTCTCGGCACCAGTTGTGACCCATGTGACCCGGTGTCCCAGTTCTCTTGCGTTGCTGGATGGCCCCAAATGTTTCTTTTCCAATGTTACAGCCGCACAACATCTACCATTTTGGATGAAGCTATATAAATTCGAAACATCCGTGTTGACAGTGCTTAGTCGTGAGCCAACAACTCTAAGAACAGCAAACGCATTGGTAGTACTTGAATCACCCTATGTGATTTTAATGTTAGATTGTTAAAGGTGTGATTTTTGCATGCTTATACTGGATTCAATGGTGCTGTATATGCTTCGCTGGATTTCTTCCTTTCTTCCAGGCCCGCATCACCTCACTTCTTGGGTTCAATACTCTTCGGCTTCTTATCTCCCTATACATATATGTATATATATATAAAGGATCGATCCCCATTGGTGGTTGCCCGCCAGCAATCCAACGCGGATATGGAAATCTTGTTTCCGACGGATATGATGGCCTACACATGATGGCAGATTTTGCATGACTACAAGTGGATGAATTAGTTTACCGACAAACATCAATGTTTGATCATACGTACGTTTGCTGCTTAAATTTCTGCAATTTTTTAAGGTAACATCACATCTCTGCTGGGTAAATCACCATTTTTGCCAGGAAAATCCAGCATTTTTCAATGGCAGCAGCGGGCAGCTCTGTGTCCTTCCGCGGCAGCTGTTTAGCCAACGATGACAAACGCCTGACGACATGTGGGCCGGACTGGGGACTATCAATGGGAAGATGTCTATAGGATTCTACAGGGATGTTTTGGAAAGCATTGGAAATATATTGATATAGTCATCCAATGATTATCATCCCATTGATATAGAATATAACCCTATCAATATCTATCAATATTGTTTTGGATTTGGAATGCTTTGAAGATATATAAGGAAGAGGAAAGGAAAGGAGGAAAGGATCTGTCTGTGGTATGGGGCTTCTTTTTGAAGAATAGGGTAGCACATGGTATCGCTAGGTATCGCTAGGGGCATCGCTCATTTCACCTCTTGCATGTATGCAACTTTATATAAAACAGCTTCAGATGTGGATATTATGCACAATTATAGGTAGGGCTTTTGGGGGTCCCTAGCGCTACACAGTGTTTCGTGCACACACCAGACACAAAGCAGTTTTAACCGTACCTCATATTAATATATATATATATATTGATTTCGAGGATTTTCGAGGTCTAATGTGCAAACTGTTGGGTTTTCTTAGGAGCAAAGATGGTGATAAACCCAACAAACATGCGGATCAGTGCTTGATAAGCATGGTTCTTGCCTAGGTATAGATAAGATGATCCCAATAAAGATGCTAGTTGACCCCTCAAAAAATGCACAGCACTTCCAGGGTCTGAGGGGGGATGATTAGGACAAGTAGATCAACGCAACCAGGAAGATCTCATTAGATTCCAATCCAAATGATATATATATATACGGGTCTCACCTAATATCAATCGGGATATGAATGGGACGTGTGAATGAGGATAATAATTTGGCATATTAGCAGCTGATCACTTACAAACAAGTTTCTGTTCTTAGTAGCCATTAAAAAGGATATTGTAGTGATTGGTTCTTGACCCAAGTTCAGTTGTAAATAAAAAGCAGAATAGTCAGAAAGACAGGAGCATACCGAATTACGAGCAAAATAAGTAGGGTCAATGGTAAGACTGGGCATATGAGAAGATCCCACAAACCTCAAACATGTTCACTTTGGGATGATTTGCATTTTGGACCAGCAGCAATGGTGCTTGAATTGCCAACGAATACAACCAATTACTAAAACATAAACTGTAAGGCTATAAACCATCTGGGGATAGGTCCACATCTTTGGAATGCCAAAAAGGTCCACTAGTCCCTGAGCAACCCATGTATTGGGTTCATAGACATTTTTGATCAAATCTTATATACACATATCTTTGGACTCCTGAAGCTACAGCAAGCATGTCTACTAGCCCTTCCAAACAAAATCATCTGGCTTCACTCACAGATCTGCTATGAGTCAAAACCCTGGCACCCCAGGTACCCTGAAATAGCTGGTTAATGGATATTTGTTGCCCAGTCCTATGGATCCATGTGGTAAATTCATATAGGTTTTGACCCCCCATGCGGAGCTAAAAAAAACCCAAAAAAGCATGGCTTTCATGTCGTGGATGTTCCCTTGAATCGACAAACAGGCCGCCCTCCACACCTTCCAGACTCCTGAGCAGCCTCGGATGATGGGATACTCCGATACAAAAATCTCATACTTCAATGGCTACTCCACTGAAAAACAGTCGTTTGGGCCAGGGGTTTTATCAATCCAGGGTTGACTCTATAGAGGTCTTACTTAGTACCCTCTGGTAATTTAACATAACTATGGAAAGATCCACCATTTTCAATGGGAAAATCCACTATAAATCACCATTTTCAATAGCTATTTTGACATAACCAGGCCGGGTAGATGTTTCCCAAGCCGTCCCCCGCCCATTTCGCTGCCGCCCAAGGGCCGTGTCACTCGTGTCACTGGTCACACTGGTCACCGCTTCATCGAGATCTTCGCTGGAGCCCTGGCGCTTTTCCGGCGGAGTGGGAGGATGTAACCCATATGTAACCCATGGACCTTTTTGAAAACATGGTGATTTTCATTGATTTTCCATATAGCAACCACGATTAGTGACTAGTGGTGATGAAAATTTGAAGGGATAAAAGGGGTCCACCTGGTGCAGAAATGAAAAAATTCGGGTGTAGCAGACAGCAGAAGAGGATCTCAAATCGCAAGCCCCGAAAAAAACATCTGAATCTACAGGAGATAAGCAGAAACAAAATGAAAAAAATAGGTGACATCCAGTGACCTACTGACCATGCCTACAGAAAATTAAAAAACCCATCAAGGGCTCAGCAGTTCTCAGCTTGGAAGCCTGAACTTAAAACCGTCTTATTCCTACTACTTTGGCGGTTCATCAACCTCAGTTTTCGGACATAGCAGAAATCATGGCCTGTTTGGTGGATTGATGTCGTGTTATGTCATAGTTACTAACCAATTAAATAGTGGAATGACCAAATAAGAATCACTGTAATGACAACATAAGGGATCTGGTTACCCCTACTATAGTTTCCGTGATTGTTTATTGTCTCCTTGGTATTTAATACATCTTAATACATTCTTAGTGCTCCCTGAGAATCAAACATGACAATGAAACCAATCCTCTTAAACACAACCAGCTGTAGATAACTGGTCCAATCAGCGGACGGGTCGGACGGGCACCTCAGACTCTAAATCTTCTTCGATGAACTGGGCGCGGGCAAGGGAAACCCTGCCCAAACTCACCAGGCCAATGATCAAGCATCCCAGGTGCGTCAACAGTTGGATCATGCGTCCATTCCTATCTAATGAGTTTTAATGTGTTTTTTTAAGTCCCATCAAACATAGTCTCCAAAACTCCAAAGTTGGAATTGCTGAACGTGACATCCACATGTTTCTTATTCTTTTTGAGTACGAATAGTATGAATGAAACGATTTCGTTTCTGCGCGTGTGGTTTCTGAACCTTGGCTGAATGGAATCGTTCGGTATGGTTCCACGTAAGGACTTCCAAAATTCGATGAATCTTCGAACTATCAAGATTGTTGGATATGGGCCATGGGTCTAAATTGGGACCCTGAGTATGGACTCTTTTCACTAGCGTGTTGACCCCTTGTTTTCAAACATGGCAGGCTTCGAACAATTTAGGTAATAAAACATAATATGTTATATATACAGTACATACTATTGTATGTACATCTATGTAAATATGATAAGTATTTGTTCTATTACATATACACGCTATATGATTGTGTTGTTATAACTATAATATATACATTTTAATATTATTATATACATGACTATGTATATATATATATATTTATAATTATATATATATATTTATACACATTAGTTTATTTCTACATATGTATGTATGTATGTATGTATGGCCGTATTGTGTTTATATATATATAATAGTGTATTATTTTTCCAGCCTCCCATGTTAGCTTCCCAGTTTTTGCACTCAAACACCTCTCCCTGCTCGCCTGCCGGGTCTGCTGATACGTTTTCCTGCGACCAGTGACGAGACTTGAGAGATCCCGAGATCCTGCAAACCGTTCAACATACAACAGGCTGACAACAGGTTGTTAACATATTGTTACCATCTGTAAATGCCTGTTACCATCATAATATAATGGCTGGTTAACAATAATAAATCTATCAATATTATTGTTTATTATATACCATCTGGATATTTAACATAGCCATGGAAAATCACCAAATAAATGGAGGTTTTAATTAGTGGGAAAATAATTGACACAAATGGGCCATCTATACCATGGCTATGTTAAATAACCAGAGGGTAACGCATATAATATTCAGAAAGTTTATTCTATTGAATAATCATCAAAGGGTGATATCTCCTCTTTGACATTTTTTGCTGACCACAAACTGTGTCTGATGATTATCATGATCTTTATGATGATCTCTAAACTATGGTTATTTATGGTCTATGGTTTATGATGAGCCAGTGAGCCAAAAACAACAACGAGGATCAGATGTCCAGTCTGTTGAAAAAAAAATCTTTAAGGATGTATGTATGTTCAACTCTTCAGAGGAGATATGGACCCTGCAAAATCACAGAAATTCCCAAGATGACAACCACCACACCATTCAGGGGAACCAAACGAGTTTCACCTGATTTTCAAAACCTGAGATTACTGCTGGAAAGTGGAGCTAGCAACTAGTAACTAGGATTCTGGGCGAGTTTTCCATGACACCTACTTCCATCAACGTGACTTACCTCCCTCGAAAATTACACAACGGTCATGACAATGGCAAAAATCAGAGTATCATATAATATGAATCATATACATATATATATATACGTATATATATGTAATATTAATTAATATTATATAATACTCCATCAGATATAATACTCCATCAGCAAAGACCAAAAACGTTTTAGATCATGACAAGTTCTGCTCAGAATCCCAAATCAGCGGCAAATCAGCGGCTGTGTATCCCATCCATGTCTCCTGAAACCCCCAATCTCCACGGATAGTTTCGATAGTTTGATAGAATGCCAATAGCTTCATAATGTTTCATAATGTTAGATATTTGGAATGGTTCTGATATTTGGAATGATAATAATAATGATTAAAAACATGATAATGATCGAAGGAAGTTTAGAAGTGAAACTTCCGACAATATGGACAGTTGAAAAGCAGAGGTGAGACGAGTCAGAAGAGACAAGATCAGAAGAAAGAAGATGCAGATGCGCGAAAAGATAGGAAAGTCGCGATTCACTGTGTTTTTCCAATGATTTGTGGCTCCGGAGTGTCGAAAAGTAGGCTCGCTAAAGCGGCGGGTGCGGAGCCAGCTGGCCAGATGAGACATGAAAAAGTGCGCGCCGTTGTGGCGCGAAGCACATTTCCAAGTCAAAATGGACAAAACACTAGAGGAGCGGACCACTTTTGGAAGTTGAGATGTCGAAAAAGTGCACGCCGTTGTGGCGCGAAGCACATTTTGAAGTCAAAATGTACAAAACACACCAATGTCGGACCACTTTTGGAAGTTCCGATGTCGAAAAAGTGCACGCCGTTGTGGCGCGAAGCACATTTCCAAGTCAAAAGTGTTAAAACTGACGGTCTCGGACCACTTTTGGAGGTTCAGATGTCGAAAAAGTGTCGAAAAAGTGCACGCCGTTGTGGCGCGAAGCACATTTCGAAGTCAAAAGTGTAAAAAACTGAGGGTTTTGAGCCTTTTTTGACGTGAAGATGTCGAAAAAGTAGACACTGATTAACTTAATTAACTTGACTAACTTAACTAACTTCACTAACTTAACTACCCTAACTTCGACGACAACAGCAACAGCAACAGCAACAACAACAACTACTACTACTACTACTACAACTACAACTACACAACTACAGAACAACTAGAACTACAACTACAACAACTACAGCTACAACAACTACAGCTACAACAACAACAACAACAGCAACAACAACAACTACAACAACAACAACTACAACAACAACTACAACTACAACTACACTACACAACAACTACAACTACACAACAACTACAGCTACAACTACAACAACAACTACTACTGCCACAACTACAACTACAACTGCAACAACTACAACTACAACTACAACTACAAAACAACTACATTTACAACTATATGACTGCAACTACACTACACTAATTACATTACACCACAACTACAACTCCACTACGCTACAGCTACAACTACAGTTGCAGTACATCACACTACATCCAGCAGTTGTGGGTGAGGTGACCACTGCAACCATTGCAACCACTCCAGCAAACACAACTCCAACCATCTTTCGGTCAATCAGTGGATTCGCTCTGCCATCCGTGATTCACAACAACCAACGTCTCCTATAGGTTTCCTATTCTGAAACTTCCGCCACCGCCTTGTGCGGTACTACTGGTAATGATAATGATAATGAGATGTGAAATTTCTGGTTCACTGATTTGTCATGATATTGACATGGTCAATCTTTGATAGTCCACACACAAAAAATGAAAAATTTAAGGATTAACCTATCCATCCAGTCGGTTGGGGAGGTTAAAAAATGACTGATATTAATATCTATATCAACTATAACTCTATCTATAACTCATAATTATAGATGATATATAGAATATATTCATATGTATATATATATATATTTCTATATATATATAATATCAGCAATATTCAGTAATATAAACAAGATGATATCATCAATCAGCCATCAATCTGTGTAACTGTTAAACTCCATCCCATTAGAGATCGCCCAAGGGCGGGCACCGCCTTAAGAATCGCACGCGAGCAGTGGACCCCAAACTAGGCCCTGGCACAGCTAAGGTATCAGAAACCAATTGGTAACCATGGAATAATGGTGGATTTAGGGGATTTTAAACATAGCACATATAGCTATATCCCGTATCTATCTATCTATCTGTCTGTCTGTCTGTCTATCTATCTATCTGCAGATAAAGACTGTGGAAGAAACTGGCATGTATATATACATATATATATACATATTAATATATTAATATACATCATAGATAACCATTGAAACAACATTCAGAAAGGGATGGTTTCCGACGGGATGAGACCAGCAATTGGTTGGTGGTTGACCTACGTCTCTGAAAAAATGATGGAGTAAAAGTCAGTTGGGATGATGACATTCCCAATACATGAAACAATAAAATTCATGTTCCAAAGCACCAACCAGTAATATATATATAGTGTGTGTGTATATAATATGTGTATATAGTATGTATATATATATATGATGTATATGCATGTCTATGTATATATGGAGGTTTCCTAAAATGGGTGGTCCCCAGTCGTTACCAGGAAATCCACGGCCGTCACGGCACCTTCAGCCTCGTCCTCGGCATCGTCCTGGTTGGTGATGATGATCTGTTTACATTTCCATTGGAAAAAAAAATGTGAAAATATGACATCCCATGTATGAAATGGAAAATAAAACATGTTCCAAACCACCAACCAGAAAATGGTAGCCATCATCATTGGATAATTTTACATATCCATCATTGGAACAAATTTTGTAGAACTGGTTGGTGGTTTTAACATGTTTTAACCATCTTGAAAAATATGAGTTCGTCAATGTGAAAATATGACAGCCCATGTATGAAATGGAAAATAAAACATGTTCCAAACCACCAACCAGAAAATGATAGCCATCATCATTGGATAATTTTACATATCCATCATTGGAACAAATTTTGTAAAACTGGTTGGTGGTTTTAACATGTTTTAGCCATCTTGAAAAATATGAGTTCGTCAATGTGAAAATATGACATCCCATGTATGAAATGGAAAATAAAACATGTTCCAAACCACCAACCAGAAAATGATAGCCATCATCATTGGATAATGTAAAAACATCCTGGTAACATGGTTTCTGTTGACATTTCGAGGATGGGTACTAATATCTTGAGGGAACCCACTAATCATCTATGATTCATTGTAGTTTACAATGACTTTAGGAAACGAAATAATTTCCTACAATCAATAACTTTCCAAGATACTTAGATGATAGTTTCATCTAATGGGTCACTGAATGGTTGCTGTTTACTTCTGGAATCACAGTGGGAATGTTATAGCCACAAGGTGAGGCCTCCGATAATTTGTAACCCAGATGCGAACCATGGTGCTGGAATATGCACACCTACATAAAAACCCCATATTTATAACCTAGTTTTGTAGGTGTGCATATTCCAGCACCATGGTTCGCATCTGGGTTATAAATTGACTTATATAGTTCTCATGGTTAACTGTTGCCTGGGGATGCAATGA